TGAGTTTGAGTATCACCACGGAACGACCGCACGACGGCCGTTGAGTTCATGTTTAGTACAGTTATCTGGAAGATCCTTATCTGGAATCTTCCCTGTATATCACCAATATGATTGGTGTGGCGGTCGGTCAACCGACCGGTCAGAGAGTCGGGCTGCAAAATGCTCCTCCATATCAGTGAGCGTGATAAGAAGAAGCATATCAAGGTTAGGATGTTGCTCTGCAGCCACACGCCTCCACTGCTAACTGCTTCTGACAGATTACCAGGAGAAGATAGTCCCGAATGGGAGGAACAAACTTATAGTCTACTACCTCATGTATGAGAGGAACGGCGTCAGCCTGTGATACTTTGGATACCGCGCGAACTCGATCCCTATGGATTTCTGAGGCTCATTGAAAGTCGCCTTTGGTGAGGTAGACACCGGTCGTGTGAGCAGAGTCAGAGGGCAGGGCCTCCTGTCAGATAACATTCTACAAATCCTCTTTAGGATGACGTGTGTAAAGAATTTCTAGACTACAGGTAGCAATATATATTGGCAATCATCGCCCAGGCAGGCTGGACGATGATTATCAATGTCCTGCAGGCTACCTTGTTGCACAGCAGCACAGTCCTGCTGGTTTTTCACAAAATGGGTACCTTGCATTCCGAAAAGTAGCGCGTGAAGCGCTAGAGTTTCGAAGGGAACTGGCGGAAGATTCTTCAGATGTTCGTATCCGCTCCTGTCGGGACCGAGGTGCCACGATTCTTCACCGACGAGATGGCGTGTCGGACTTCGGAAGGGAGAACTGCAGGAACGACATATCCATCCTGCTCCAAGCGGTATGGTTGCAGGTGGACGTGGCTGTCAAAGAGATCCGAGTAGAAGTCGTGGATGACCTTCTCCATTGCCCTTCTGAATGCAGAGATTGTTCCTTCCTAGCGACCGGTCATCATCTTATCCTTACAGTTGGCGAAGTCGCGGCGGGCGTTGCGTATGCTCTTCCCAGCCTCTGCGGCTTCCACCAGTACTGCTGCTCTTCTCTCCTTG